TGACTGAGGGGGAATTTGGTAACAGTCTTCAAATATCTGAAGGGCAATTAAAGAGAATGGAGATAGGCTATTTTATGTGCCTATAGGAGACAGGACTAGAAGCAATGGCTTCAGATTGCAACAAGGGAAATTTGGGTTGGATATTAGGAAGGACTTTCTCACTATGAGGGTAGTTAAGCATTAGAACAAGCTACCTAGGCAGGCTGTGGAGTCTCCACCTCTGGATGTTCTTAAGAACAGGTTAGACAGACACCTTACTGGGATGGTTTAGTCAGAGATGATCTTGCCTTGAGCAGTGGGCTGGACTAGATGATTTCATGAGGTCCCTTCCAGCCCTACTTCCCTATGATCTTATGACAATGTAGGGCCTTTGTTTATCCACACATGAGGTGTGACATGTATAGCCACAGTTATGGTGCAGAATGGCTTCATTCCATTCTGGAAGATCATCTCTGCAGAAAAAGTGGATGTTTAGTTTCCATTTTCTATAAAAACTGGCTTCTTTCTTAAAGCTGCTAACCAGTGCCCTTTGTTGTAGTGGTAGTTTTTGTTATCATTGTTTTTATTTTTGTGATGTAGATCCATGTACAGAAGGAACTGGATGCACAAACCTCATTTCATAAAGCCACTGAACTGCTCAGGATTCATACCAGCAACCTTGCATTACAAGCTCTAATACCAATACCCTGAGCCATCCAGTCCCCCCAAAGCAATAATTCTGTCCATTTGTTATCAGCCATTTAGGGGATTAAAGCTTTGATCTTGTGAAATGATTAATAGAACGCTGAGAGGAATATGAGGGTACTCAGCAGATCTCAAGAGGCGCTCAACTCCTTGGAGGAAAGGCCTGAACTTGCCATTTCATGAGATTTGCAGCAAGTGAAAGGAAATGTATATACTAAAACCTCTGCCATCTTTTAAAGATGAAACATAAGATATGTGAAGTAATCTAAGCAACCTTCAGCCTGAGAAACATCTTGGACAATACATCTAGCCTTTTAGGCTGTACATAGGGCCAGGGGAAATGGAAGAAAAACCATGATGAATTATTAAATTACATAGGGAAGAAGAACACACTTTGTCTGACATGATAAATTATCCCTCTCCACAGTCTGTGCAATTGCAGTTACTATGATGGAGAATTCAGGGTAAGTTGCAGGTAGAACTTTTCAATGCTAAAATCATATCAGTGTTCTTATTTCTTTTTTTTACTGTCAATTTCAAGAACAGGAGCTTTCTCTTTTATGTCCCAATTGGCAATCTTAGAGTATGCAACTGAGAGGTGTTATTGCAGCTTGTAGAAACATACCTGAACTGGCCTTAAACTAGTCATTTTGAGGAACAAAACCAGTGAAGCCATGGGAGCATGGGCTTTGGTGCTAGCTGTAGAAGCCTGGGCTACCTACATTGATGGCTACCCCATGATGCATTTTGTGACCTATGTCTTCACTGCTGTTGCCATCTAAATTGTCTAGATTACAGCTAGCCCAGCTATGCCCACCTGTGCAGCAGCCACACCTCTAACTGTAGTTTAGGCACACCTAGTGGCAATCAGTGTATGGAGAGACAAAATAAAGGAATATGGAACTTGTCACTCGTAAGTGCATGTCAGCTGATTTAACAGCTTTGTCTATGTGTTCCTGTCCTTCAGTAAGTGCCATGAAACCACAATCATTTATCCCGGGTTGAAAAAGATGGTAAATGATTGTGCTTCACTTCCACTTACTGCAGGATAGAGCAGATAGGTTAAACAGTTACAACATATTCAGCTGTAACATGGTAATGTCTCCCATTCCGCCTTTTAAAGTGATGCAATTGATTTATCTGTCCATACACTTGGCCTCAAAAGAGAACCCACCATTTGGAAACTATACCACTCTCATACACTTGGGCCTGGTATGTACAGAGGTATCCTGGCAGTAATTGTGGGAATGTGGTAACCGCATTTTAACCTCTATGGGTGTGTCCCCACATACAAGGACATGCATTTGCCACAGTTAAAACAGCAGCAGCACAAATTTGTGCCACTGCTTTTTGTCACTGTGCACGCCCCTGCATGTGGGGTTTGGTGCGGGGCAAATTGTCCCATTGGGGTAAGGGAGGCTGGGGCCAGCAGCCTTACTTCGGGTTCTGGGGCCTCCTGGGGCAGGAGTGGCGCTGGTCCAGCTGCTCGGAGCCTTACTGGCAGCCAGTGTGTGGCTCCGGTCGGCCAGGCTCCATTTCTGGTGGCACACGCAGCTTCCACGTATGTTGCACTGCTTTTTATTCCCCTGGGTTTTTTGACACCAGGATCACCAGGTACATGTGGTTTGCAGTGCCTCAGAGCTGTCTGGGGCACCACAAACTGCACATGAAGACATTCCCTGTACTACTACCTTGCAGTGTGGGGTTTTTTTGACCCCGGGAGATCCCAGGGTCAAAGAAACCCACACTGAAATAAAGCAGGGTGGTGCACATGGCAGCAGCATGGTTCATCCAAAACCAGCCACACTCCAACTGCCATCCAGGCTTCCTTCCATGGCTGCAGCCCTGGGAGGCCCCCAGGTATAAGGCTACTGGGGCTAGCACAGTTGCTTGCCCCAGCCTCCCCTATCCCACCTGGGGTACTTTGCAACGTACCAGAGTACACATGGCATGGGTGTTCCTTGAGGACAAGTAGCAGTGGCACAAGGTGTTTTGGTGCTACTTATCCCTGGGGCAACAAATGTCTGTGGTCATCTGGATATGTCTTTTGCGGTTCTATGAGGTTTTTTTGATATAATGTGAAAGATAGGATTAAATGTTTCAACCAAATAAATGATGATACTGACAACAGCAATAAATAAATAAGAGATCCAATATAAAACTGGTCAGGAACAAACAGAAATAATTTTTGTCTGTTGTATGTAGACGTTGGGTAAAGAGCTACATCATCCACAAAATCTAGGTCTTCAAGTTTCCTAGTGTCAACTTAAGAAAATCCATTGTGTCCCCTTCAGTGGGGTTTTTTTGTGAACAAGTCCCTGGTTGGTTAAAAAACAGGGGTGATCGTATATATCTTTGCTCCCTATCTTAAATTATCATGTTATTTTTTTATTAATTTTATACAACATTCACCTTTTCCATAAAGGTTTGATACTACTCTGTCTTCCATTTCTAACTTTTATCTTGCATAAGTGTTTTTGTCAAAGCTATCAAGGACTTTTTCAAAGCCAATATAGTTAGTGATGATTGGTGTTTGGTACCTCAGTGCATTTCCTAGGACTTTTCACAACACAAGTATTTGTTCAGTATATGAAATCTTCTTGTACTTCTCTCAGTTTTTTGTTTGTCTCTGATTTCATCTATCCTAATGTTGTCGTCCCATAAACTTTTTTCTGGGAAGGACAGTAATGCCATACGGTGCCAATTGTTACAATCCTATCTCCTTTCTTTAGGATTTGAATAATGAACCTCTTTTTCTGTTTGTTTTTGTTTTACACTTGTTTTCCCCATGTATAATTTTAGATGTTAAATAGGAACTCAGTCATTCTTTTAAAACTGGTCCTTAAAAATGTTGACAGGTATTTGGCATGTACTTGATACATCAAATGATTTGCTGTTCTTTAGTCCCCTTAATTATTCACTGCCATCTACTTTCCTTAATAATTTCTTTCATAGTGAATGGCTCTGTACTGATGTTGATAAGCTTTAGGGGCACTTCAATGCATGTAGCTGCAATTCTGAGTTTTAGTTTATTAAGAATTTCTTGAAAATGTTCTTCCTATCTTACCTTTTCATCCCCATTTGTTATGACCCGCTTATTGTTGAGTGGCAATGATTAGTTGCATTGTCAGGGTTTTTGATGATTTGGTAAACTGATTTAGTTTCATCTCCTGAGGCTGCATCTTTTGTTTTCCTGGCTTTGTTGTCTATTCATGTTCTTTTCAATTGTCTTGCATTTACTTTAACACCCCAGTTTTTTGTTCATAAACCATTACAAAATGGTGTCAGATTCATGTGTTGTTGTCTTATTCAATTTTCATTTGATCCTCTTGAATTTTTTGTTTTCATATTGTTACTGAACTTTTCTCTCTTTTTTTTCTTTTTTTCACAAATCACAGAATGTTATCTCACCTTTGTGGCATACCATATTATTGTATGATTTCCAGTTACCTTCATTTTTTTCTAAGTTTTATCATTCTCTGACTCAATGTGGTATTTCTAAACTAAACTGATCAGCAAAAGTATAACAATGCCTGGTGCCAGTTCCAAGACTGGGTCAAGAGGAACAGTTAAGAATGAGTCACTCATTCTTGCAAAAAATTGGACCACTATAGGGCGAGATATCACACTAAGCCCAGGGAGACTATACATTGATACATCCTGCAATATACTTTATTATACATAGGCTTACTTTGGAAGAGTTATGCACCATGGATAACTTAAAATAAACACACTGAAATTTATATAAGATACATGGCAATTACCTGACTAAACTACAGCAAATCAAATCAATCCTATTCTAACTGAAGGAACAGAGTCTCAATCACCGCAAGAGATAGGGTTGGAGAGGAGTGGATATAAGGGATGATTATATCCCTTATATCCACTCCTGGCATATGTAAATGTCAAAATAAAATTACAGAAAGTTACAAAGAAAAGACCTCCACAGTATGAGCAAAGTAATAATAAGTTTGCATTACTGGTGATAAAACCACTTTGGCTAGCAACAATGCAGATCTGAGAATACCTAATGTTTGATTGATCCTTTGGAATGGATCAGAGAGCAGTGAGAATGGTACTTGGCTGTTCGTAGCTGTGCCTACCTCCTCCTTGAGGACTGTTTACTACACACTGTGAAATCCAAAATGGCAAAAAAATACACAAAGCAAACTTCAGTAATATTTTAGTGCACTTTAAACATTCTGCATTTTTTCTCCATGGGGATACCTTTTTAAAACATAGATGCCAAAGACAAAGTCAAGTTCACAGAAATGTAGACACATACAAACACTGGCGTCTCCCTCACAAGTCCTTACTTTACTGGAGGTGTCATGACAGTGTAGGGCTGCCTCAGGATCACACTACTGAGATCTAAAAATAGAGGAAAAATGAAAAAGGTGATGAGTTTGAGGGTATCAGTAGAACTATTCCCCCAGCTGGTAATTACTTCAAGTAAGTCTATTTTTCTCATCAGACACTTTAATACTCATTTGTCATCAAGAGTTTTTTTCCCTCCTGGAAAAGCGTGTGTCCTAGGGATCCTAACCGTATTATCTGAGACAGAGGGATAGGGGAACTAATTCAGATGCATGCATAAGGACCCAAAGGGTTTATAGTTTTCTCTGATTCAGTAACATGATGCCTTACTTTCCCTATTGGCAAAACTCAGGAGATTTAGCTAGACACAGGAAGTTGTGAGGTGTATTTTACTGTTTGTAAAGGCTTTGAGATCCTTACTTTCAGAAGACAACGGGATTATACATGTATTTTTATGATGTTGGTTACAATAATTAGCACCTTAGTTTTTACTCCTTTTTTTGACTACAGAAAAAAATAGAGCAGTCCTTTATGGGAGGTGGACTTGATGACCTGTGGAGGTCCCTTCCGGCCTTGTTTCTCCATAATTTTGCTGCAAAGAACTCAGAAAGGTCGCACCAGAATATTTTGGATACTGAGGACTCCTATTTAAAATTTCTGGGCTTGTGAATCATGGTATGCGCACCTTAGACTGCTAATGTTGTGTGGCACCCTGTGGCATCCTGGAAAGGCTCTCAAGGCACCTCAGGGCCCCCCTGGGGGAGAATCCCTGGCTAAGCGGTCAGGGCAGCAGGTGGTACCACTAGGTCTGGAGGGGTGCCAGGAGGCCTCTGCTGCACGTAGGTGACCAGTGTCACCTGGGCCAGCCCCTGTGGGTGTCATGGCCTCGGCTGCAGTGGAACGAGGCCCCCTGGGCTGGGCATAATCCCGTGCTGGGCAGTGTTGCCAGGTATACAATAATTATTGTATTTGTACCATAATTAACCCCTTGTATGGTGTTCAATCAATAAGAGTAAAAGCGTTCAAAATATATATATCTTGGGACATAGGTTGTAGCCATGTTGATCTAAGGACATAGGCAGACAAGGGTCTTTGGGTAAATCCAGTATCTTTTATTAGACCAACTAAATAGTTGGAAATTTTTTTCTTAGCAATCTTTTGAGTTTAGAAACCCTTGGTCAGGCTGAGGAAGCATCTGCAGTTGGTGCATGCTCTTCCAGGATGAGCCACCTTCCTGGGTGGAAAAGCACACGCCAACTGCAGGCGTTTCCTCAGCCTGATGAAGGGTTTCTAAACTGGAAAGCTTGCTAAGAATTTTTTTTTCCAATTATTGAGGTGTTCAAAATGTACGGTAATTTTTGAGGCAGCTCATTGACGCAGCATATTCAAAACCCAAATCACTCTCACAGACTCTTAACTGACTTCTGGGCTTGCTGCCAGCGCTTTCTGACGACTGCTGGCCTCAGAAAGAAAGCCATGCATGCATCAACTTTGATGACCCGGTTCTCACTCAACTCATCCGCGAGTTATAGGGAGCAATGTAAAGGAAATAAGGAGAAGGCTGCCTTGCGTACGTGTTTGCAGATTTTTTGCATCGTTTTCAGCAAACACGAGAATTTTGAGCTTCCAATATGATCACGTCACATTTCAGACCTGGCAACGCTGGTGCTGCGCCTCTCCTGCCCTGCAGCCCCTTGGCTGCGCCCGGGCCGGCTCCGCAAGGTGCCTACAGCGCCACTCCACAGCCAAGCTAGGAGCCTGCAGTTCCCCCGCCGGCCTGCAGGTGGCGCTGCCGCCCGGCGCCTCCTCCCTCCTCGGCTCGCCATGACTTACGATAACAAACCGGCGCGAGGGGCGGGCGCTGCTGCCGCACCAGGCCCGGGCGGCGGCGCGCGGCGGTAGGGGTAGGGGCAGGGACCGGGACCCGGACCCGCGGCCTCGTGTCATGTCGGACATGGAGCCGCAGCTGCTGAGCCTGGAGCTGCTGCCCACGGACCCGCTGCTGCTCGTCCTCAGCTTCCTGGACTACCGCGACCTCGTGAGGTGGGCCCGGCGCGGGGGGTGGGGGGCAGCGTTCCAGAGTGACGTGTCTTCCCCCGGGGGCATTCGAAAGTGACGTGTCCTCCCCCCCATCCCTCCCCGGGGGCGTTCGAAAGTGACATGTCCTCCCCCAACCGCGAGTGTTCGAAAGTGGCGTCTCCCCCAGCTTTCGAAGCCTGGGCGTTTCCCCCAACGGTCGCTGGGAGGTGGGGAGGGGCAGGTGCCCACCCCACGCCCCAGCCAGTGCCGCGTTGGGGCTGGCAGGAGATGGTGGGGGCTCCCTAGCCCTGGGATGTGGTTGGCTGGCAGTTTTGAGGGGGGGCGGCTCGTCCTCCTAGTCATCATCACCCCAGGCTGGAAGGGGAGCAAGGGCGGTTGCACGCCAGCTTGGAATAGGGGTGTGACTGGTTGGACCTGTTGGGGAGCAGCCGAGATGGGGAAAAAAAAGAAAGGCGTCGGGTGCTGCCCTGCAACCGTTGGTGGCACCGATAGCTGGAGGGAAAAAATAGGCACCCATTTGCCGCTGCCAAACGGTGAGGAGGGGCGAGCGGGGTGGACCTGAGGAAGAAGTTGAGGCAGGAAAATGTGGGTGGGATCCTGAGGTAGCGCTCGCTGGCGGGACGCTGCAGCCCTGGCGGCCTAGGAGCAATGTGACAGGCAAGGGTTTCTCAGGGTGATGGCTTTGGTTGGCGGGGTCGAGTTTGACGAGCTTTTGCAGGCAGAAGAGGTTCTTCCTTGGGTTCATCATCTTTTCCACGTCTTGGACCCGAGGAAGTACGTCTTGCCTTTTGAAAGCTCGTCTGATTCTGTCCCAGCTGTGCCATGAGGGAGATCTTACTTTGGACTAAGAAGTCCTTGTCCTTTCTGAAACATTTAAGCATTTTAAGGAGCCTCTGCCTCAGTGGCGAAGGAGTCCCACAACCCACCCTTTTTTCTGGCTTACAGCCT